AAAAAAAAAGTTTTTGGAACAGTGTTGTTTTAGTATAATTCATGTACTAAAATTATATTTATTAATATTGCAGGGTTTTTTTATTTTTCAGTTTTCCTTTAAATTCAAGTTTAGTTTTTTTTTGTCCCCCCCACCCCTCCCCATTTAAATTTCTATTTATATCATTTTTATTTCCGTTTTAGCAATTGAAGTATTTGTACTTGGGCAACATTTCTCATTTTTCATCTTTTATTTATATAATACTGTATTATTACAATTTAACTTTTCGATTAAATGTAATTTATTCCTCTGATGACAAAGCAACCAATTTTGAATGTCCAATCTCCAGTGTCACGTGATCCATCAGAAATTGTGCAAACTTTATTTTATTTCAGCTTTTTTCAATTAACCACCACTATTTTTAATGGCTTTAGTTAATGATGGCAACACAGCTTTGGAACAGAATGAGGCTAATTGAATAACACTTTTTATTTTTTGGTATCCTTATGAACTAATCATTTGCTACAGACTTCTAGTGCTGCCCCGGTGCACTCTGGGAATTAACATCCTTGTCATCTCACCCAGTATAATGGTGCGTTTGAATTTAAAGCTCCCTCTAGTGTATTTCACTGAACCTATTAGAAGAGCCATCAGGGGGCCTGCGCTCTCCATCCCACAACAGTCTGGCTCACACTCCGCACCTTTCTTCACTGGATAATAGGCTTAAAGCAGCCGGACAAAGTAAACGCAGCCTGCAAATTCCATTCTGAGCTCCCAATGACAGAAATGAGCGGGATCCAGGAATATTTTCACGCCAAGCTTGAGCTGAAGAATACAAACCTCTGGAGCTGGAGAGAAGCACAGATAATAGAGTGCTTCTCATGCAGGGACCGTCTTTTGTTGGCGATTTGGGTTTTGCTCCATTTTATAGAACTAAACCAAATGAGATGGAAGTCCACTGTAAGGTAACCGAGCTATTGAGATGTGTGTGAGAGAGAGAGATGAATAAAATAAAATAAGAACTGTATGGCGGTGGTCCTAACGAGGTCAAAAAATATCAAACCATTTCTGCTAACAAATGCTTTCACCTGGGTGTCAAAGTGAATTATAGTGGATTCAACTCAAGTTCATGCAGGTGTCCAAGCAGAATCAGTTTATCATTCAAAATCTTTTGAAATGTTTCCACTCTATTTGGACAATGCATTTCCAAGGCCTTTTTTCCAGTCATTTTTGAACACTGGAGAAAGATTTTATATAAATTCAGTTATGAATCATTCAGAATGATTTGTGAACCAGTCTTACGGAGTCATTAAAAACTATGAACTCGAAAAGACAATTTACTTGTGCATTGGACGTCACGCCTTCTGTTAGTTTTTATTCTACACAACAGCAACTTCTATCTTCAACAAATTGTGGCATCACATAAATAAAATACACATACTTCAATTTAACTCAGTTGCTGCCTTAAAAGTAATTCAATTGGCTGTACAAGCCATTTCAACTTATATTAAACTGACTTTAAAAAAAATTCGTTGAATCTCATGTAACTTTAAAAAAATAATTGAAATTGGATAAATTATGAGGAGTTAATAAAACCACGTCACCATGACTAGATGACTTTCTTTGGACACTGCGTAGGAATGTCACCTCACATTTCACCCTCAAACAAATAAATATAACTTCTCATGAAACTGAGAGAAAACTATGGAAAGCTAAACCTGTGCCATATTAAAATCTAGTTTGGCTCAGAGGAAGAAAGTAATGGTATTTGATTATTAATATAGGCAAATATCATGGTGAATTTCTCGGTGCTAAAAGATTAACTCATATTCAGGAGTTGTGGACTCGTCAAGGGTGGGCTTGAGAAGGGCCAAAAGCACAAATCTCAAAAGTAAACCTTAAATTCTTTCTCTGCCCACTTTCTCAACACAAAAGCTCTCCTATCACACATAGTCCTTCAAGAATTAGTTCTCTCACAAACAAACATAAGAACTCCTTTCTCTTTTATCAGATGGCCACAATTGATATGGGGGCTGTTAAATGTTTCTCTGTAACCTGCATCAACTGTCTTCACTAATTAGCCACTAAT